GACTGTAGTTTACAAAGTACTAGCCTACTAAAACACAGCAAAGACAGGTCACTTTGTAAAGACTAAAGATTAGTTTTATATTATTGGATACGGTAACATGAGTGTGCTGTGTCATTTGTAATTTCTGTAATGTGAGCCAGGCACAGCTGAAAGGTTAATATAATAAATATATATAAATGTATAATGTTACGAGATTTAAGCTATTTAGTCTAAATATTTATGATTTTGTGTTATAATTTTTTGCTATTCTAGAATGAAAAAGGCATAATATATATTTATTTCTAGTACTGAGATTCATTAGTGAAAATAACAGATAAAATATAAAAGTGTTTTTTTCTGGACATTATAAAGATTTCATATGTGAAATTTGAAAGTTTTCTGACATATAAAAGAATCTTTTTATTCTCAAAATGAAAATCACTTTGCATGTTGGATAGGCAACGTGCAAAAAGAAATAAAAAGTATGAGAACAACATTGCTTTTCAAACCTTAAGACTTAATAAAAAAATTGATATTTTGTGTATGAAAACATTGTAATGTTTAATGATATCTGCCAAATTTCGTTAACACTCAGCAAATCAGTACTTAAAATTTGATACAAAAATTTAATATTTTGTGTATGAAAACATTATAATGTTTAATGATATCTGCCAAATTTTGTTAACACTCACTTAATAATTCAAAAGTTATAGCACGAAAACTATAAGAAGCACAAAATGGTTACGAGGTTAGTCCTAGGGATTGAGCCCATGCTGAAAGAGTTAAAGGGTATACTATTAATCAAACAGATAATGACAGAGTAACTAGTTTAATATTATACTATAATGAAATGGTAGTTCATGCCTGAAAAACATTTTCAATATTTATAGCCACGTTACTGTTTGAATCTGGTCAGATATCCAATCAAAACTATAATTTGTTCCATTTCTAATAAATAGAAATATATATACATGGTTAAATAGATAAATGATATATACCCAGACACACAACCTAATCACTAATCTACCTGAACACAACATCTCCTGAGATGATTCATATTGGCTCAGATAATTCCTTCAGTTTTATGTGGTAAAACTTTTCTGTAACAACATAAAGAACCTATTTTCTTATTATCAATCTAATCTTGCTAAATAATGTTTTTTATTCTAAAGATTTAGTCTGATAACTGAAAACCATATGAACATTTTCCCTTGTAATTATGTATTTACATATTTCAGTGAGAACCTGGTTGCAGACAGCTTCTATGGCTGCTGTGTAGTGACGTGCACACTGTGTGCCTTTATTAGCTTAGTATGGCTACGAGAGCAGATACTTCATGGAGGAGGACCTGAATGGCTAGAACAAGAACAAGACCCACCACTGATGGTAAGATACTATGATTAGGTGTAATCTATAATTACAGATGGATATTGGCCACAACTCTGTAGCTTTTGTTGTGGAATGAGTTCTGACAGTTTGTACTAAGTTATTTTTTGTTTGCAAATAATTTTGAAATTTGATGTGTTTTTTTTTTACACAGTTTGTGTACTACCACCAGAACACATGTGCATATAGGTTAATATTCTTACCAAATCTGTATTGTTAATGTTTCCTGTATGTATTCAGCAAGTTTATAATGTTAATAACATTTCCCTTGATAAGTCTTTTACAGATTTGTAAGTAATGATAATGTTTAATATGTTCATTGGAGTGTTTTATTGTATGCAAATTTTTCTTTGTAGCCACAGCCACTAGCTGTAGCAGATGGTGATCTTGTGCTTGTCCCAGCAAACAACAATGTTGAAGATCAACAACTTCCACCTGCAGAGGGTGCTGCTGAAGTAGATGGTGATGAGGCAGATGGTCCAGATCTTGAAGTAAATGATGGAAATAATGGTGCTCAAGGTGTGTTTAAAGAAGAAAAATGGGAAAACAATGTGATCATGTGCTGTTTTAATGTATCCAAATTTATATTGGGCTTACTGAAAAACTTAATTTGTCTACAAATGTTTTTAAGTGTATTAGTTCTGTGACTTTAAGATGTTAACACACTCAATATAGGGCTCGATCAATTTGACCAAACACGTGACCTTTTCGTACTTGATTGAAGTCTTTATAGATTTAATACTTCTAACTTTCAATATAGTGTGTGTGTATATATCTTTACAAATTTTGGCAATCTTTCAGTTAATATTATAAGTCTCTTGCATACAAAAAAATCATATTTTTAGTGATATTTTTAATAAAATAAAATAAAGATTTGTCCACGAATATATTCAGTGTTTGTTTTGAATATTCTGTGTACAAAATAATTATCATGTTAAAATTAAAAATACTTTTCCTCATCTCAAAAATCTAAAATTTTCTTTGTGTAATCCCTAAATTCAGTAGGATTTTATATGTTATTTTCTTTACCCTGTCTCAAAATCAGATCGGTCGATTCAACTAACCTTGTAATCACCAAAAAAAAAATTGAAATAAACCTAAATTATCCTTTTTTTTCTTTCTAGTATGACTTGAAATTGTAGCATGAAACTACTTTCGTTTATTCTAAGTAGCTCTAAGTTTATAACATTATACATCTATTTATAATTAAACTTTATTGCCCTTTGAACTGTGTCTAACTACTATTCATGCCATTATAAGTTGTAAATCACTCGGGGAACATGCAGCTCACATTATGCTATCGAATTACATTACCCACGAGCTGCTTGCGTGCATGCCTCGTGAACCATTTTATATATATTATTATTATTACATATTTACCTAATCTAGTCTTAACTTAAAAAGATCCATATTTTTAGATTTTTGTTACTTTTATTACAATAAATAAAGAATAAATATGAAAAACAAGAAATAAAGTACTTACCCAATCTTCTTTTTTCTTGCCCTCAATTTTTCGAGGACAATTAAGCCTATTTTTTTATGCTAATGATAGTAATGCACTTAATAATTTTTATTTAATTAAATATTGCACCAAAGAATATAGACAAATAACATGCAAAAAGTAGACAAATTCACTTACCTCTCAAAATTTTCCTGGCTTTCTAACTGTGCTACAAGAGCTGTTACAAATTCATCCAAGCTAGTTGTTAACTTTCCCATGAGAATGAATCTTGTACTGTGAGTGAAATTAACGATATTTCTTTCAGAACACAATGTTATACAATACATCATTTGTTAGATGAAAACCTTGACTTTCTATTGATTATAGGTAATGTATAATTAAACATAAGAGAGAACTATCAACGAATTGTGAAAGAGAGGATGTGACAGGTGAGTGGGGTAGGAGGGGTCTGATTTTCTATTCAATAGTTCTGTAACCAAATAAAATTGAAGTCTATAAAAATTATGGTTTGTATGAGCAATAACAATTGTATAGAGAGTAATTTATGTTTAATTTCGTACATTTTCAGAGGTGATGAATAAAATAAGGATGATGACATGCTAAGACAAAATATGCAGATTTAAGAACTTCAAATTTATATACTATTAAAATATGGATTATTAGCTAAGATGTTATGCTATTTGAATTGGTATAACATAAAAAAAAGTAGTATAATATAATTTTGAATGTAAGACACTAAAACCTTGTGTCATGGTTTTATAATAAAGGTTACCCGGGACGATAGGGTTAAATCTTGAATTTTGGCATGATTTAGAAAGCTATAATTGTTTGTATGTAATCAAAGTTAAATAATTGTAATAAAAGATATATACTCCTGTTAGAACTATGTGTTTTAACATCTCTGGTTGTATATAGATTAACATGCTATAAGGTAGTGTGTTGTTTAACTCTTTCAGCACGGGCTCGGTCCCTTGGAAAGACCTCGTAACCATTTTGTACTTGTTATAGTTTTCATGCTATAACTTTTAAATTATTATGTGAATGTTAACAAAATTTGGCAGATTATCATTAAACATTATAATGTTTTCATATGCAAAATCTCAAATTTTTTATTAAGTCTTAAGGTTTATAAAGCAATGTTTTTCTCATGTCCATTTTTTTTTTTGCTTGTTGCTTATCTATCTTTATAATGTCCAGATA